GTAGCCCTGGTTGGCCTGGAACTCACTTTGTAGAGCAGGCTGGCCTTAACTCACAGAGATCTGCCTGCCTCTGCCTCCTAAAGGCGTGCATCACCATGCCCGGCTGCCCCCTGCGGCTACAGGGAAACCCTGCTTCAAAACGACAAAAAAAAAAAAAAAAAATTATGGGGGTTTAAGAGATGGCTCAGCAGTTAAGAGCACTGACTCCTCTTGGAGAAGACCCAGGTTTGATTCCCAGCACCCACATGGCAGCTAACATCTGTCTATAACTCCAGTTCCAGGGGATCCGATGCCTTCTGACCACCATGGGCATTGCATGACATGGGTGCACTTACAGGCATGCAGGCAATATACTCATATACACAAAATAAAAAAAATAAAATATTTAAAAATTTGGACATAAATTTAAAAAATTAAAGATTTTTGAGTTTTTATACACTTCATATATCTTAATCAAATTTAGACCTGCACCCCCCATACCATATTTCAATGTAAAGTCCTATTCAGTCAAACACTTGGTTTGTTTGTTTGGTTTTTTTTGAGACAGGGTCTCCCAGTAGCCCTAGCTGGACCTGGACTCAGAGATCTGCCTGCCTCTGCCTCCCAAGTGCTAGAATTAAAGGCATGTGCCACCATGCCCTCTGGGTTCCAGTATTTGTACCCAGATGTCCTTTGGTACAAGTTCAAACAAGTTCAACCGCTGGAGTCTGGTCAGCCTATCTAGAGTCATTCTCTTAAAGAAGATATACTCTTCCTCACCTGGTAGTAATCAGTTGCCATTAGTTCCTCGGCTATGTTTATAAATGTTTGCCTGCATGTATATAAGTACATCACATACATGCAATGCCTGTGGAGGTCAGAAGAGGGCATTGGATCCCCTGGAACTGGAGTTACAGGTGGTTGTTGCTAGCCATGTGGGTGCTGGAAACCAAACCCAGGTCCTCTGCAAGACCATCCATTGCTCTTTAACTACTGAGCCATCTCTCCAGACCCTATTCTGTTTAGTTTTGGATACAGGGTCTCTTGTAGTAGCCCCAGCTGACCTGGAACTCAATCTCACAAAGGTCCACCTACCTCTGCCTCCTGAGTGCCGGGGTTAAAGGTGTGTGGCAATATGCCTGGCCTTTTATTTTTTAAAGGTATTTTATTATTTTTATGTGTATGAATGTATTGCCTGCATGTATATAAGTGCACCTGTGTCATCCAATGCCTATAGAGGTCAGAAAGCATCGAATCCCCTAGAACTGGCGTTATGGACGGGTGTTAGCTGCCATATGGGTGCTGGGAATTGAAACCATATCCTTAACCCCTGAGCCATCTCTCTAGTCCCTTATATTTATTTTAATTTTTATGTGTGTGAGTGTTTACCTACATGTATGTAAGTACACCACATGTGCAATGCCTGTGGAGGCCAAAAGAGGGCATCAGATCCTCTGGAACTGGAGTTACAGATGGTTATTAGCCACCATGTGGGTGCTGGGAACCAAACCAGGGTCCTCTGCAAGAGCAGCCAGTACTTTTAGCCAACTCTCCAGCACCTTATTATTTTTTCTGAGATAAGGTCTCATGTAGTCCAAGCTGGCCTCTAACTCACTATGTAACCTGATCCTCCTGCCTTGATCTCCCAAGTGTTAGGATGACGGGTATTGTCCCCGTGCCTGGTTTATGTGGTGTGGAGATAAACCCAGGACTTTGTCCAGGTTAGGTGAGTGCTCTACCCATTTAGTTCCAAGCACTCTAGCAACTGAGCCCAGCCCTGCTTTGATTCTTTTGGGTTTATCTGGTGGTCATTTGTAAAGAGACTGTTGGGAATTTTTCTTGCAACACTTAGCTATAATTGGTCTCTCTGGTCCAGTGGCACCCACTAAATGTGGTGTAGGAATCTGGGACTTTATTGTCTCTGGGTCCACCTTGCTGGCCCTGCCTCCTATGTCTGCTCTGCTTGGGAAGTAGGCTGGTGGCAGAGGGGAGGGGCACAATGCAGGTGGGGGTAGAGGGTGCTGCCTCACATGGAGGAGGAAACTGAGGGTCTGAGTGATCCAGTTGCACTGTGTCCTGCCCACAGGAGATCGTAAACTTCAACTGTCGGAAGCTGGTGGCTTCCATGCCTCTCTTTGCCAATGCGGACCCCAACTTTGTCACGGCGATGCTGACAAAGCTCAAGTTTGAGGTTTTCCAGCCGGGTGATTACATCATCCGTGAGGGGACCATAGGCAAGAAGATGTATTTTATCCAGCATGGTGTGGTCAGTGTGCTGACCAAGGGTAACAAGGAGATGAAGCTGTCCGACGGCTCCTATTTTGGGGGTGAGCACCCTGGGGCGGGGCAGGGAGCACAGAGGACTGGACAGCTCCAGCCTGGGGAGGTTCCAGAAGGGCCTGACCCACTGATGCTGCTCCGGGTGGGCCCCAGGTGGGTGCTGGGAGGATGGTAGCTGAGCCTCAGGTGGGTGCAGGGCAACTGTGTCCTGTGCTGGCCACTGAGGCTGCTTCTCACCCTGGCAGAGATCTGCCTGCTCACCCGGGGCCGCCGGACAGCCAGTGTGCGGGCTGATACCTACTGCCGCCTGTACTCACTGAGCGTGGACAACTTCAATGAGGTGCTGGAGGAATACCCCATGATGAGGCGGGCCTTTGAGACTGTGGCCATTGACCGCCTGGACCGCATTGGTGAGCCACTGGCCTTCCCTGGAAAAGGGGCTCAGGGAGGTGGAGGTTTGGCAGCCTGAAGGACAGGTGCCCAGTAGGGTACAGGTGAGGATGGGGACAGGTGCCCTCCTGGACTGGACAGAGCAGGGATAGACAGGAGACCCCGAGGACAGGGGCAGGCAGACTCAGAGACACATGCAGGGCCTCGTAAGAACAACTCAGGCTAAGCCAGGAGAACTATGGAATGTTCTAGCTTGGTTGGGTGGTATCTGGAAGGAAGAGCACCCTTGTTGATCCAGTGTGGCAGCATGCTTCAAAGGGCCTTTCAGTACACAGCAAGCCCTCACACATGCGTGCCCACACTGTACACAGTTGTTCAACACAAACTGCCGCCAGTGTGGGTGTTTAAATATACCTGCTGTATGCTTTCATGAAGCAGGTGCTAAGTAGATTGGATTTACACAGATACCCCACTGCTGTATAGTGCTCATGCAGACAGTGCTGGATGAGCTGCCTGTATATGGCAGGTGCTCAGTAATTGGCTTGTGGGACTGGAGAGATGCTCTGGTTAAGAGCACTGGCTACTCTTGCAGAGGACTGGGTTTGGTTCCCTGGACCCATATGTGGCTCACAGCCATCCTTAACTCCAGTTCCAGGGGATCCAACTCCCTCTTCTGGCCTGTGCCAGCATGGCTAACATATGGTACACTTACATACATGCAGGCAAAACACGCATACACATTATAAAAACAAATAAGTTGCCTTGTGCACACAGCAGGTGCTCTGTACTACCCTGTGTGATGGGTGCACACAGCCAGCAGTGGGTGGTCCATGTTGAGTGCTGGCTGCATGCATGCAGCAGGTGCTCACTAGCTGCCTCCCCACCCTTAGGGAAGAAAAACTCCATCCTCCTGCACAAGGTCCAACACGACCTCAGCTCTGGTGTCTTCAACAACCAGGAAAATGCCATTATCCAAGAGATCGTCAAATACGACCGTGAGATGGTGCAGCAGGCCGAGTTGGGTCAGCGTGTGGGGCTCTTCCCACCGCCACCACCCCCGCAGGTCACTTCTGCCATTGCCACGCTGCAGCAGGCCGTGGCCATGAGCTTCTGCCCACAGGTGGCCCGGCCGCTAGTGGGGTCCCTGGCGCTGGGCTCTCCGCGCCTGCTGCGCCGCACTCCCCCGGGGCCACAGCCCCCTGCAGCCTCCCCGAGCCCTGCACCTGCCCCCAGCCCCCCGGCCGCGCCCTCTAGCCCACGGGCGCCCCGGACCTCACCCCACACCGTGCCCTGTGCGGTGCCGGGC